CTGCTGACTGCTTTGTGCAGCAGACTGGCACGGCCCGGTTGAAGCCAGGTGTTGTCCCGTCCCTGTGTGTAAAGTCAGAGCCAGAGGAGAGTCCACATGTGGTGAGTCTGCTTCCTGAAAACCCACCCTGTTGTGCTGGATACTTTAGTTACTAAAGTGTCTTTCAGTGGCTGTTAAGCTTATTAAATAAATATATAAGTTAAGTGATCAATCATAAAGACAACAGGCCATTTGTCAGAGCCCCCCTGTTTTCATTGATAAGGTTAATCAAATTAAAGACACTCTTATAAAGCAGGATAATGGGAATATATCAGTTTAATCATACACATGGGTATAGGAGTTTTTTCTTTTCACTATAATAAAAAATGACAGGTTACTTATTATTAATTTTCTCAGATAAACACGTGAGAAATGTTAGTAGTAAGCCTGGGAAGATATGAAAATTTTATGTCACAATTATCTTGGCCAAAATAACTGCATATATAATAATAATATACTTCATATTTCACACTACTGGAATCACTTTACCCTAAATTTAGTAACAGGTACATATAGTTACTGCGTCACAGATCTCATCTCCCTGTTCTTTATTTTGGAGTCTATATTTCCACACATCCAGTATACACCTTTTACCCTTTATTTAGTCATAACTGTAGGGCCTAACCCCTTTGTGCATCCACATAATCAATCTGTCTACATGCTGTACGACACAATAATCACAGTGTACTCTACAAATCAACTTCCCTCTTTAAATAGAGATTTACTGTCCACTTCCATGTCCACAGCGTAAAGTCTACATGAAGTAAATCACATCCACATTTAAAAATATTCATAAATTATAGTCCACATCTTGTGTGCCCTTGTGCAGCCTAATTTAAATGCTGCTTGCACTGACAGGTGTTCAATGGCTCATTGACTTATCCCCACAGGGCTGTTGAGGTCACATACAGCCGTGGACCCGTATTTGATAGGATGTATAGTCGACTGGCACATCAGCAGTGAAACCTGTGGACAGAATAGTGATTATTTTACATTCTAACTTTCAGCCAATTAAAAAATAGTGAAATTAAAATATTCCTCATTTTTCTGGGGATGCCCAGGAACCCCCTTAAGGACCCCTAGGGGTCCCCATAACCCAGGTGGAGAACTGGAGGCTTACAGTATGATGAGCACTACAGGCTAATGCAGCTATTCACCATTCAGTATCCACATTGTCCAGTCAGTGCACATTTATTCTCATATGAAGTCAAAGATGTGTTTACTGTCCTGTAAAGAGCTCTGGATGTAGTTTTAACTGCAGGCTTTTATTTTTGTCCTTTGTACAGGAGCCTGTGGAAACCACACATGTTTCTTTTAAGTGTGAAAACCTTAACACATGCAACAGTCCGACTTCCTCCTCTGAAAAATCAAAACATATTGTAAGAGGTAAGAGACTTTACATGTAGTGTTACATAAAAACTGAGGAGGGTATTTATTTGTTATTTCTTTTCATGTGAATACTGAACTTTCTTTTGTAGGTGTCAAAACAAGTCCTGAGTCCAGCGGTGTCTTAGTGTCACCTGATGTTTCAAATGCTGTGGCCTCAGGATCTGACCAAATACAAGAAAGAGTCATTAATAATTTAAACCAGGAAAAGTGAGTTGCCCTTTTTCAACATTTTTGCTTACTTTTTTTCATATTTAACATTAAGTTTCTTTTTTAAATCTTCTTTTTAATTGTTTTTTTTTTTTTTTAGAGCCACGCTTCTACAGATGAAAGGAAAGTTTGTTGTTAATGAAAGCTGCCTCCTCCAGTTGTTCCGCCGCAAGTGTCCGTCATGTGACTGTAAACTTCAGATGGAGAAGGTCACCTATGGGGTGCTCATTATCTTGAACCAACAGTGCCTTCAGTGTGAGTACAGATATCAATGGAAAAGCCAAGTCAACGCCAGCGTCCCAACAGCTGAAGATCAACACCTGACAGGGGCCACGGAAGGAACTCCATACACCCAAACGGTAGGACGTGAATATTCAGACACATCCCGACACTCTGCCTGTAATATAATGACCTCAGAACCTGCTCCATACTACAGAGCTCATATTTCAGTAGGGCTGCAACTAATGATTATTTTTATTATGTATTAATCTGCAGATCACTTTATGGTTTGATGAATTAGTTGTTTGGTCCAGAAAATGTCAGAAAATAATGAAAAATGTTGAACACTGTTTCTCAAAGTTTACTGTCATAGAGGACTAAAGAAACCAGAACATATTTACATTAGAGAAGCTGAAAATCAGAGAATCTGTACAATTTTCTTATAAAATGACAAAAAACAAAAACAATTTATCGATTATTAAGATAGTTTATAATTTACAACTAATCAATGAATCGACTAATAGTTGCAGCTCTAGAATTCAGTTTAATTACAATAATGAATCTTAATATTTTCTCATTTTGCACCTCCTTTTTGGTAATTCGGCTGTAATATTCTGCTGCTAATGCTAGCTCGTCGTTGTATTGTTCACAGAATATGCCAACAGACCCCAGCAGAACCGTTTTCTCTGAGATCATCACCTTTAGCGACGAAGAAAGTGATCCCTCGGATGACGGGGAGGAAGGCGATGAAGGCGGGGTGAGTTCAGACGGGGAATGGAATCCAACCGAGGACATCTTGCTCGCTCAAGAGCTCACAAAGGAGTCTGACGAAGAAACCGAAGATGAAGAAGAAGAGGAGGAGGAGGAGGAGGAAGATTTTGATTCCCCGGGTGGCCTCAAAATTAATGAGCTCTGCATAGAGTGTGGACGTTTTTTCAGTATTCTGAAGCCTCACACGTGCGAGCACAAAGTAAAGCCCTATTCCTGCAACATTTGTGGCAAACGATGTGTCACCGAGATCTCTCTAAAAACTCACAGCAGAATCCACGATGAAACCTACGAGCATCCGTGCAAATACTGCCACGTTACCTTCAAAACAAGGGTGGACAAACTTAAACACGAGCAGACGCATAAAGATAACAAAGATCCCTATAAATGTCCAGACTGTCCGGAGACATTCGCCACCAGTAAAGAACGAAGACTCCACCTGTCAAATCACAGAAAGCCGAAGGAGTTCAGATGTGGAGTTTGTGGGATTGAGTTCAAGGACGTGCATCATCTTCGGAGACACTCTGTAGTGCACACGGGTTTGAAACCGTACAAGTGCTCAGTGTGCCAGCGTGGCTTCAACCAGACGAACCACCTGAAGTCCCACATGCGTCTGCACACGGGAGAGAGGCCTTACAAGTGTCAGCATTGTGAGCGTAGCTTCAATCACAACGTGAGCTTGAAGAGTCACGTCCAGCGTTACCACTCGTCGGGCTCTGGACGCGGCCGGAAGAAGGAAAAGATCAAGGAAAGGGCGAACGACACTAGTGATGCCGAGGACGACGGGAAGAAGAAGGGCACAGACTCTGAGTTCGACAATGTAGAAGAAGAACAAGACACCGAAGAGGAGGTGCAGAAGGAGAGAACCGATATACGAAAGAGTAGAAAGAGGTGCACAGGTAGACCCAGAGGAAGGCCGAAGAGGAATGCAGAAGGCGACTTTGTTCTGGAAGGGGAAAAAAAGGGCCCGCGTTCGAACAATAAAACTGGAAAATCAAAGGCGCAGAGGTCAAAGAAAACAGGTTCTAGCGATGAGATAAGTGAGGACGAGCAATCAGACAGCGACTTATCCTTTGACTCTGGGGAAGAGGAAGAAGAAGAGAAGGAGAAAGCGAGGAAGAGCACGGCAAGATCAAGAGGAAGACCAAAAAATGACAGTGACACTGATTTCGACCCAGAGGAAGAAACCAAGAAGAAAAGGTACAGCAGCCACAGTGGTAAGAGCTCGGCGAGAGGCCGGGGCAAACCAAAGAAGAATGTAGCAGTGTGAAAAACCTTCAAACACACAGCTGAAGGATTGATTTGGTGTGAGCGATGGTGAAAAGAAAGAAGCCATTAAGATCAGAGGCCCACAGAGAACTGGACTGATATCTCTTGAGTAGATAAATAAAAACAAAACATCCGCGCAGGCCGGTCTCTCTGAATTAAATTGTCTTTTACTCTAAAGACTTTAATACTTTTAAACCTGTTAGCTGAACATGGACTTATGTTAAGTCTCGAGTTCCTTTCAAGAAAAAAAAGTTGTTTTTTGTTCAAAATCAGTGTGAAGAGAAGTTAGCTTTCACCAATGAGACCAGTCCTCTCCATTATTTGGTATCACTGACAGTGAATGGACAGTAAATGGACAGTAAATGGGGTCAGGGTAAAGTTTGGAAAATATGTACTCCGCTCATATATTGTAATAATATTGTTTAAAAAATACCTTTCTACTTACGGCCCTTTGACAGTTTCTTTTCTTATTTCACTTAATAACTGTGTAAGTATTTAGATTGTTCATGGTTACATGTTTTGTTTTATGAGTATTACACACAACAAATCAGACTCAATCAATGACGAAGTTCTGTTACACAATGCCTTCAAATCTATAGAAAACAACATTATCTCGGTATTTCCACCTAATACATGTAGTATTGTAGTGTTAATAAAAATGTTTGTTCTCCTCTTAAGCCCGAGCTTTAGTGATAATCAGTGTGTACTCATTGTCAGAGATGATTTTAAAAGCCCGCACCAGTTGTTTTGTATTGTTTACTCCATTCACTACAAATTGATGTAGTTTACATTGCTGCTAATTCCATTTTTTAATTTTCCATTTTCTTCAGTATGCTACAAAGTTTGTTATGGTTCTGTTCTCATCCAATAATTATACATTTATTAAAATCTTCTTGGAACGTTCGAGGACAAACCGTCGTCTGAGATGTTTTTGTGCATCAACATTTCAATGCAGCAAACTGAGCCAACCCAGTGTGTTTTCATGATTTCAATGTTGCATCACAGTTTACCTGTGGTTGTATAACTGCCTTTTTTTGAGAGTTTGTCATCTTACCTGACCTGTTAGCTCGTAGAGTATTCACTGTTATTCACATTTCTACTTGAAAAACATCAAATCAGACAAACTGGTCCTTATCCAACTCTAATGGAGCTGCTGTGGATTTAGTTTATTGCTTAGTGCACTTGTTCCTCTACCTTGAAATTCTTGAATGTATGTGTGTATCTGAGTCCAGAGTTCCCACTTTGATCAGAAACCATGAATGAATCCCCCCCGCTTACATGTTTATCCTCTTTCTGTGTGTGTGCCAGTGCTTAAGCTTGCTTCAAGGCCTGTCACGTATTTTTGGAGCGTTGCAGAAACTTCTTCTGTTTTGCACTCTGGGAAAGAGTCAGCCTGTTGCTGGGTAACCCCGAGGCTGCTTTGTGGATTATCTAGCTGATGGTTTGCAGATCTAAACGTGGGCTAATGTTTGGAGAACTGAAATAAAAGGAATTTCTTGAGATTTTTAATGAGGTACAAACTCTGGTACTTTACTGTGACATTTCAGAGCTATATTTGAGGATGAAGTATGTGTGCACAAGACGTATATGAGTCTTTTTAAAGTCTTTTATTCAACCAGATGTGTAAATCAGATATCTGATTCATACTTTTATTTAAAGTATTAATACAACCCCTCAATTACACATCTAGACTATCGTGCAGTTAGGGTTTTAATAAAAATAACAAGACAGAAAGCAATATGAGCCTCCTGACTGGTCTTAATAATTTTGTCAATTTGAGAAATCAGCCACACAATTAATTAATTTGAGCCTTCATCTTCATTTTGTCACATTACACTTTGGCTCCTTTTCCATCACTGAGGTTTGAAATCACAGTAATTGGTTCAGCGTGCATTATAGATTATTCGGGAAATTGTATTTTTCATTTCTCTTCGCTCTAGTGATGTGTTTAGGGTGATTTCCATCTTGTCTAAATTAACTAACAAGACAGTACAATTTAGTAAGAGTGAGACTTCTGAAATAATTCAGGTAAAAACTGTATTCGACTTATACAGGTGGTTACAAGTTTTTAAATTATAAGGTTTTTAGAAATGTATAAGAATCAGTGAGCATTGCCACATGTAATGGCACAACATTAAAAACCAAAGTATAACATCCATGACTGCAATGCAAGACAAGAGTTTATCATTGGAGATTCAACAGTTCACAGTACTGTAAAGTTTTTTACATACAGTATTAAAAGTTCAAAGTGTTTAAAACAAATGTCCCCTGTGACTGTTTATGGCTATTTTATAGATCATTATTATTCATGCATTATTGTAAAAGTGTAATGTTACTGTTGTACTTGTTGAGGTGGAGCTAATTTTGAACTATTTTGTATGTGACTTATTTCTATTGTGGATTAATCTGCTGATAATTGTTTTTATGAATTGTTTGGTTTGTACAAATTCTGTAGTGACTTGTCCCCCCTTTATTAGATAAGACAGCTGAAGATAAGCAGGAAAGAGGGCAGAAAAAGATTGGATGACAAAGGGCCACAGGTCAGGCAAGGAGTTAGCCTTTGTACATGGGGCACCAGCTCTACCAGGTGAGCTATCTGGGTGCCCCATGCTATTTACATTTT